TTGGCTTGGTGCCACGGGCTCTCGTTGGGATTGTGGAGGTGGGCAGGCGGCAGGTCCTCACCACCCTTGTGATCCTTCCTTTAGACCAGGGGAAACCGAGGCACGGTCGGGGCCAAGGCTGAAACCCTGGTCTAATGTGCCGTATGCTAGTCGCCCTCCCTTAGCCCAAGAGGAGGGGGGGCACCACCCACTCACACAAATAGCTCACAACCTCACCCAACTTTTATAAATACGTTTAATAACAGTTCATGTTAGTTTCTTGGCGAAAACCTGGGACTGTGGACCGTTTGTAAACAACTCCAGTTTGCTGTGGCAGTCGCGGATTCGGGCCGTAAAGTGCTTCCCTCGCCGGGCTGACTCGCAGGAGGGGCCCGGCTGCAGACCCATCCTCAGCGTCAGCGAGTCCCGCGCGCCTCGGGCTCTGCGCCTTGGGCCAATGGTGACGAGTGTCTGGTTACTGCTGGGTGAGCTGGGCGCAGGGGAGGGAGTGGCAGGGGCCAGGCTGAGCCAGGACAGAGCCCAGCGTGGGCAGCCCCTCTGCAGCCGCGTCGTCAGAGCCTCCCCTCCGCCGGTCCCGTACGCCACGAGGAAGAGGCTACATCAGACGAGAGACCCCGAGTCAGGCAGGCGCCCTGGAAAGCGGGCTCCCCACGATCCCACGATCCTGTGCAGCCAGAGCCACCTCCAGCGCCTGCCCCGCGGGGTCCTGTCTGCTCCTGTTCAGATGGACTCAGCACGAAGCACCATTCCCACCCCAGAGCTGCCGGACACCATCCTATGGCCCTGGGAGAGGTGGCTGGGTGACAAGGGCAGGAGAGGCTGGGAGGAGGGTTCTAGTCCCCAGAGAAGTGAGGTAGTTTGAAGGGTTAACCACAGCAACAGACCCCTGGGCCACCGCCACCGCCAGAACAGCACCCCCCCGGCCACCCTCCTCGCTCCTCCACCCCAAGCACCAAAAAAGGGGCATTGACCCCCAAAAAGAACAGGGCAGCTCCCGGCACCGAGCAGACAGCACCGGCCTTCCACCCCCAA